AAGAAAGATACTGCCAATAGGACAGATTTTGGTCTGCAACTACACTGGCTTTAGTGGAGTTACCCCTAGTTTAAACCACAGTGAGATCAGAATCAGGCCCCGAACGTTCCAGAGCTGAAGGTTTAACGCAACATTAACACTACAGATAAAACAGGCTGATTATATTAAAATGGATAGTTGCACAGAACAACAGAACATAATACTCTGTATTGGTACATGCATGTATCTATTAAAGATGTAGCAAACCCACAGAACTACTTCCCCAACATGATGAAAGCCCCAGCTGATGTGGTTTTGCAAAACAAAGGCCAACTCTGGTTTTGCCTCTCTTGTGTACCCTATATGTAGAAAGTGGCTGCCATGACAAGAATAAAAGCAGCGCACAGTATTATCTGCAGTGGCTGCAGTTTTCAACTAGACTTGGCGTAACAAATAACTGACAAGCACCTAGCATCGGTTTGAAATGCTAACTATCAAATGGTGCTTGACAATTGTAATTATCCATTCCTTCAAAAGAGAAACATTTGTTTTCTGCAGGTCTCATTTTGCAGGACAAACAGAACATACAATGGGCTTTCTTCTCCTTTGCGATCCATCCCTTGCCCCTTAAAAAGGAGAAGGATAGATGCAACACTGGTTGTTCAGTGGAGATGATCCTTGCAACTAGCTGCCTTCTACAATGAAGCATCCCAACAGCAGCACTTATTGAACCTCAGGACCGAGAGCCACTTAGAGGATTTAGATGCCCAGTTTCCATTAATTTTAAAGGGAACTGGATGTCCAAATTCCTTAGGATGCATTGAAAAGCTCAGCCCACAGCTCTAAATTATCCCTCTGTCTAGAAGTCCAACATCCCATTCTAGATGCAATTTGCCTCTTCTAGCCCACTTCCAGAACACTACAATGCAGCCACGGGCTCCAAAATGGAAGGTGCTCTCTCTCTAGTGTGCATGTGGGCTTATTGCTAAACTCCCTTTGTTATATTTTTTGGGGTCAGCTGTGCCACATTTTTAAGGCGCAGTATCCCTCAGTTTGATCTTTGTTCGGCTGGAAGGGACAGTCAAAACCACCTTTCTTGCCCCCTCAGAGGTGAACAAGCTGTGTTTCCTACCAAAAAGTTTATTTTCAGCAAGCACATCAGATTCCAAGATACCACACTGTATTGCTAATCAATTTCTCTTACACTTGCAAACAAACAATGCTGTCGCGTTTTCCCCACCCCTAGATCAGTTAAGAAACAGCTTTTGTAAGCAAGAAACAAAGCCCAGGAACACCAAGGTTTTTAAGTCTGGAAAGAGAATGGAAACAGCATGTGGAATAGTTCTTACCTGGAATGGTTTGCATTCTTTCCCCCGTTAAACGTACACCACACCAAACAAAAAACACCCTAAACTTCCTCCTTTATCCACTCAGTCTTGTTAAACTCCACGGCTTAATGAGCAGATTATAGAGAATATAAAGCACTTTCCTCTCTCGTCGGCTCTCATGACGTGAAGTTACCAAATCCACCGAGATGCCTGCATAAGAGGTGAGCGGACTGGTGTGTGAGAGAGAGTGAATGAGTGGGGGGGGGGAGGGGGGAGGAAATGAGAGAGGTGGGAGGATGGGAATGGCAGCACAAGGTTTGATATAATCCCTACAACTTCAGAATGCTGCACATATTTACCCCAAGCACAGACAGAGCCCTGTGCCTCTTTATTCAGGCAAAATTCCCCTCAGAAGTCAATGGGAGTTCTGCCAAAGTATGAGCTGGAATTGTTGAACAGGCCCTATCTTAGCTGGGTTAAATCCTAAATGTTTTGGATTCTCCATGTGCCTCATGCTTTAGTATTCTTTGATATTGCATGCTGGGCCTCATCTTCAGATACGGACATCCATCCATCAGGAATATTGCAGTGGATTTATTTCCTTCAAGGTAAGGGACGGCAAATTCAGGACTCTACGCAGGGTTAGAGTGCTCTACTAAGTGCTTTGGAGACTGTTTCAAATACACAATTGCCAACACTTGCTTTGTAAATTCTGCATTATTCAGAAACAACTTGCAACTACAAAGGACTGTACACCCCTGAACTAGCCACAGTCAGAAACCTTTACCATTTCCAGCACCTTTTATTGGAGGCTGTCAAAGTGAAGACAAGCCTGCGCTATCATTTAGCTTTAATGCACGGCCTCAATATGCAAGTCACACTGAATAACTAACTGGGACACTAGGCTTTGCCAAGTGAAAGAAAACAAAAAGTTTAAGTATAAAGAATTACAGGCATGATTTCCAGACTGGTACTCTGGTTTTACAAGTGCACTTTTGCCAGGGAATTGCTGGAATGCTTTGCCAGTGAAAAGCATGAATGAATTGCAAGCAGAATCTCTGGTGAGTACAGAATTGTGCCCTTAAAAAGAGAGGATTGAAAAGCAAATCCCGATAGCCTGTCACTTTTTGTGATCCAGCTCCTACAGCAGTTTGGTTTAGTGCACTCATAAACGAGCAAAAAAAGAAGAGAACATCTATATTGGGGCTAAATCGAAGATTGACAGCTATTTTGCTATGTAAAATGTTAATCTTTCCTAAGGAGCTTTAAAAACTAGACTGGACAAGGCTCTGGGGAATAAACTGTAGGGAACAATCCTACTCTGGTGAAGAAATAGACTAGATGTGACCCAATAGGGTCTTTACTGTCTCTAACAACTATGATTACATGACACCTTGAAATGTATTAGAGCAATGAATACATTTTATGCTAAATTCTGGTCATTCTGCTAACTCACCCTCCCACTCATCCTCCTACCCCCGCCAGTCTTCTCTGTTCACCTGTCATGTCCTGTCTGACATCTAGTCTGTGAGTTCTCTTGGACAGGGACTCTCTTTTTTGTTATTTTCTTTGCACTGCATAGTATAATGGGGCCCTGATCCTCAGCTTCGGTTCCTAGATGCTACTGCAATTAGAATAATAAACTAGGAGAAATAATAATACCTAGCTCTTATATAGTGCTTTTGCATCAGTAGATCTCAAAGCACTTTATAAATGTTGCAATTAAGTCAGGATGGAAAAAATGCAAAAAGTCAGGAAACGGTCAGCAAAAAGGCACTGCATTCAGTCATAATTCAATGACCAGAAATATGGACTATTAATTAACTCTGTTGAGTAAGAAGTAGGAAATAACATTAATTACTTACAGTACAACACCACTTTGAAAAGACAGCACTGAAATGAGCTTGCTGCATTATATACTGACTCTTTCAAAGGCTCACATACTACATCTGCTCTGCTTACAAACAAAAAGGGGTGTTTTCAAATTGCTGCTGTCATAGGACTTGAAAAATTAAGGCTGTGTTCTTCCTGTTTTGGGTACCGTTTAGAATAGCGAAGAAGAGACCACAATTGTACCTACAGGCTGCAAATGCTACATTCTTTACCATGTTTTATCAGCAGAGAACGAACCCAGGACCTTCAACACTAAAAGCAAGGATGGCTACCATTTGAACTAGAGGAGTACCACATTTGCTATTAGCAGTATTAGGCTCATGTAGGCTTATGTGGACCCGTCACTACAGGAAATACATTACACATGTCACACACAATAATCAGTGGGTGGGTTTCATCAACATGCAGGATGGAGAGAAATTTATTTAGTGCAGCTGGGACACAGGGCATAGCTATGAGTGGTCAGATGAAATTATGCCGAATATCAGGATAAAAGTTTCCTAACAATGAGATCTATTTGGCTGTGCATTTCCTGAGGAAAATGATGGAAGTCCTATTTGGGGGGAGGAGGGCGGTGTAAAATTAGACTGGACAAACCAGTCCAAATATCTCTATTATATTGCATGGAGGATGGGTCCATCAATGGCTATTAGCCAGGTTGGTCAAGGAAGCAACCCCATGCTCTGAGTGTCCCTAAGCCTCCAAATTCCAGAAGCTGGGACTGGATGACCGGGGAAAGATCATTCAAAATTGCCCTGTTGTATTCATTCCCTCTGAAGCATCTGGCACCAGCCACTGTTGGAAGACAGGGTACTGGGCTAGATGGACCATTGGTGTGAGCCAGTGGGGCCGTTCTTATGTTCCAATTCTACAGTCCGAACTTACCTGACAAGTCTGCTGATGCTTCACAAAGCAGAACAGAATCCAGCTCACTCTTCCTAAACTGCATAGGCTGAAAGAGGCCCCAGCAACAAGACCCTTATGCTTCAGCAGCCCTCAGGGGCCTGAACAGACCCTTTGTGGCCAGTGCAGCCACCTATAATTTAGAGAAGCCTTTAGGCCATTCTGTACGCAGCTGAGTACCAAATCAGCCCCTGGCAGCTGTGGGAATTAGGGGACCACAAAGGCAGCTCTGGAATATCTGATCGCTGTCCCCATGTGGTGATGTTAGGCACAAAAGGTTGTGTTAGCCTGAGTGCTACAGAGGACTAAAATTGAGTGAATAATGGGTCCGGGGCTGAATTGGAAAAACAAACAAACAAACAAAAACAAATTCACCAATCTGAGCCAAAATTAAAACTTTTTCAAAAAGTTTCCATTCAATTGAAAAGCTGAAAAAATTTCATTTTCAATCCAGTGGAACGTTTCTATTTACCTCTAAATGATTTTTCCCAATGTTTTGATTCGTTTAGAGTCAACTGAAATGTTTTCAGTCAACTTCAAATGATTTTGTTTTTTACTTTTTCATTTTGATTTGGCTGTTTTTGGTGCTTTTCACACTTTTTTTTTAATTGGCCAAATTTGGAATCAAAACACCAATTGGAATCCAAAAGCCGAAAGAAAATGTTTCGACTATTTTGAAATTTGTTTTCAATGGAAACGATTCATTTAATTCAACCTGAATCAATGAATAGTTGCAAGCCCTGAAAAACGCATTTTTTTTAAATGAAAAACACAATTTGTTGAAAAAACGATGCAAGCATTATAGAGGACCGCGGAGACCACCTCAGGAAATCTGATCTAGCGACAGTCCAATTCCTTCTCTTCTTGATTGCAAGGAATAGCACAACTGGGACTTACTCGTCCTGCTGGCGTTGTCGTTCCCATTGTCGTAGCTTGCCTGCCCTCCTTCATCGGTATCGGATTGGTCCTGGCGCTCATAGAGCCTTTCGTTCTCGCTGGTTTTATCCCGGCTGGAGGTGGATCTCCGCCTGCGCCTTTTCCTCCTGTAGCCCCGTGGCTTTGGCACCCCGATGTAAATGGAATGGTAGTCTGCAATGGAGAGAAAAAAGAAACCCACCAAGGAACTTCGCATGGAGCAGCAGGGCTCTGGGCGTACAACCCTCACCGCTTTTCACCTGTGAATAGAAGCCAGCACTTCCATATGGTCTCCCCACCCATCTCCCATTAGGCCTGAAACACCAAACATTACTATCGTGCTAACAAGGATGTCTGGCTACTCCCAAACCCATCGATGCCATGGAGTCCACAAGTAGGCATGCCCTTGGGTTTTGAGTCTCATTGGCACCCCCAGAAGCACCATTACACACACCCCCACTGATACATCAGGGTGGAAAGGATGTTTTTACTTATTTAAATGGAAACAACAAATTGTATCCATTCGGCCTTGAATTTTGGGTGAAATTTGGCATCACTTCAAGGAATATTACCCTGTTAGGTAGTCTTCAAACCAACTGAACAGCCCTATTCTGAGATGCGCTGAGTAGCTGCAGCTTCCACTAAAGTGGTGGGTGCTGAATGCCTCCCAGGATCAGGCCCCAGCTATATATTAGGGAAGTCCAAGGCAATGTTTCTCAAAGTCAAAAGTGTTCATGTCCCCCATACTGTTAACATAGGTACATTTAATATAAAAGCAAAAAAAAGTAAGTCTGTGTGTGTTTTGAGAAGTTGATAGAGAATACTTGACTTTGAAGAGTAAGGGTGTGTGAGGAGTGAGATTTTTCTCTTTTCTTCAGAGCAAATACAGTTTTCAATGTCTTGCAACCCCTTTGGTTGTCATGACCCATGAGCTGAGAAACATTGGTCTGTGGATAGATAGGGCATTAGACTAGGACTCAGGAGATCTGGGTTCAATTCACAGCTCAGCCACAGAGTCCCTGTGTGTCCATGAACATGTCACTTAGAGCTGTCCGGGGCCTTAGTTCTCCACCTGTAAATGGAGATAGCACTTCCCTACCTCCCAGGAGGGTTTGGGAGAACAAATCCATTAATGATTGCGACATACTGCAGTGATGAGGGCCACATAAGTATGTGGGTAGATCGATCACTGAAGTCAATGGGAGTTTTGCCATTTACTTCAGTGGGAGAAGATCAGCCTCCAAAGGCAAACTGTGGAACACCTGGAATTTTTCTTACCTTCTTCATCATCATATCTCTTCCTAGAGTTGCTGAGACCTCTCTCACTCAGTCCATCATCTTCATCCATCATGACTGCACCACTAGAGGAAAGAGCTGACGGATTCAAGGGGGAGAATAAAGAAAATAATTAGAACATGGCTTTTAAGAAAAAACATTTTCATTTTAGATCAATAAGAGATTCTTTAGAGAGAGGCATTTGGCTCCACATCAGTGGTAAGAGACGATTATTAAAATTGTCATCTTTTTGGGGTGGGGCCAGCCTTTAGTTTTGTGTTTGTACAGCGCCTGGCAGAGTGGGGCCCAGTCCTTGTTCTAGATGCTCCTGCAATACAAATAAATAATAAATCAATACTGACGAAGGCTGGGGTATCCTGCCGACCCCCTGAGGTGGTTCTGCCGGATCTGGGCTAAGACATGTTGCTGGGGGACAGCGTGGAGGACATGGCTGAATAAAATATTTGTGTAACAGTAGTGCCTACAGACCCCAACAGAGATGGCGGCCATTGTGCTAGGCGCAGGACAGTCAGCTGGTGAGAGACAGTCCTTGCCCCAAGAACTTACAGCCTAAATAGACAAGACAGGCAAAGCATTGGAGAGAGGCAGGTCTCAAGACATTGTTTCATTCTGTGTTTGTACAGGGCCTAGTAAAATGGGTTGCTCGTCCATGATTGGGGCTCCTAGCTTCTACTGCAATGCGCATAAATAATTACAGAGGAAATATTTAATAAACAAGAGGCCTAAATTCACAGATGTGATTGGGTTTTTAATATTTTTGTAAGGGAACTAGCTAGGTTAGGAGACTTGTAATGAGATACAGAAGCTATCTGAGCTGTAGGGACCTGATCCAACTCCCATTAAAGTCAAGGAAAAGGCTTGCCTTTTTATTACTTTTTATTATTTGTATTCCTGTAGCATGTAGGGGCTCTATCATGGACCTGGACCCCACTGTGCTAGGCGCTGTACAAACATAGAAAAAATGGTCCTTTTGATTCTCATTTGGGCTGCACCAGGCCATACATCACCAAATTCAAATGTGACTCATGGCAATGGGTGGTCAAAAGCCGTTGCTATCAAATGTTCATCTGGTGACTTGGGCAACAAGAGGGTCTCAGCTCAGTTCCGAGCATCAACATCACAACCACTGATTAACTGGCTGTCTCAACAGAAAGGCCAAGAACCAGACAGGCCATGGAGACTGAACTACACACTTGCTCCTAGAGATAGTGACACATATGGCAATTTCCTGAAATATCTTTGGGAGAACTCATTGTGGGTCCGAGACTGTATGAAATTCCACTGGGGAGAGTGACCACAGCCCTCCAGGAACGAAGAACAGTGGCTGGAAGTGGAGGGATGATTAGGCAAATTTACTCAGGTTTTAACATGTCCATAGGGGCCCCGCCACCTGGAGAGGCTAACATAGACGGCTTCAAACCAGATTCTCCAGAAGCCACCGGACAAAGAAAGGACTTTTGGATAAATAGCCTGAGTTTAAACTAAGGGCTCTTTCAGATCCAGCCAACAGACAGGACCTTTTGTCCAAGGCAGGGGCCAGGAGTCTCAGTCCTTAGGGAACGGTTGGAAAGACTGACGCCTGTCAGAGCCTGAGATTGGAGTTGGCGGGGGGTGGGAAATGCATGTTTTTTAGCAAGCATGTATGCTTTTAATATGTTTTAACTGTAATGCTTTCCCCTTAAAAGTGCTTGTTTAGAAAGACCTGTGGGCTAACTTGTAACTGCTGGCAATTCCGCTGGTCACAGGCTTTAAAGAGTATGCTGAGCGCAGATGCTGGCCTGGTTAGGTAGACTGGCTTGCAGGGGATATCACAGTTTTCAGAAGCAAAAGGCTAGTTGTTATAGCAGTGGGACTGGGAGACAGAAGGCCTGGGTTCGAGTGCAGACTTTGCTTTGAGACTTCTGGAAAGTCATTCCACCTCTCTGCCGAAGTTTCCCTCCCCCCCCACAGCATCTGAAAAAATGATACTGACCTCCATTTATGAAGTGCTTTGAGGATGAAAACAAAAAAGTATTTAAAAAGTGATCTCCAGATGCAAAGTATTATTGTCCTGCTGCTTCTCTTAAGTGGAATATGCATTTTCACCATGCACCGACACATTTTGGTAAACATTTGCCCAGCTTTTGCTCATAATTCTCACATACTGTCTTATTTTGAATGGAGTTTTTGCGTTTTCATCAAGAATAATAATTAGTTTCCTAATTATCTCACCTACACTGATTGCCCTTCACACTTGATGAAGGCGAGAGGATGGTACTAGCAGTGGCAGTAAAATCAATGCCTTTCAAAGTCACTTTGAGAGTGGTCAGATAGCCAGCTCTGGGCTCTGAGTACCATTGCAAACTAACGGCCAGCTCTTGTTTTCTCAACAAAAGGCATAAAACATTATCAGAGCTGATCAGTTAAAAAAAATAAATAAAGATTTGCAAAATTAATAGTAAATAAAAGTACGGAGTTCAGGTTGTTGAGGGAAACATGGTCATGTTGTTATTCTCTATTTGCATACCAGGTATGTGTGGAAGTGAAAAATCTTTACAAATGATTATCTGTCCATATATTCAGACCATTATCCCAGTTTAAAAGCTGCAGTCAGCCAAACAGAATAACCCTGTCATTTATCATCTTATTTATATTACAGTAGCATTGAGAAGCCCCAACCAAGCTTGGGGCTCTATTGTGATCGGTGCTGTGCAAAAATCAATATTAGAGGTAGTCCTTGTCCCACGTCAGTGAATCAGGGTTTATTTACAGTTTTTGCACTGATTTAACTAAATCAATAGGTTTCTTTCTATTTAGTTAAACCAGGGCAACCCCCAAGGGTGGACTGATTATAGTGGTATAAAGATGTTTCCGATGGCAAGTGCGTCCACTGACTGAGGATGTTCTGCTTGAAGTGGCATTTCCCCATGTCAGACCAGGTTACAAAACAAGGGGCCTGCTCCAAAGCCTATTGAAATCAATGGGAGTCTTCAAATCAACTTCAGGGCTTTGGATCGGGCTTGGTGCCCAATCTTGCTGCGACTGAATTAAATGGCCTAGCTTCAATGGGAGACCCTAAATGATTCCCTCTTAGAAAGCAGAGCTCTTGGTGTATTTTTGGGCTGAATCCTTAGATCCAGACTACTTCACTGTTACACAGGCAAAATGTCTATGGACTCTGTGGGTGTCTTTGCTTACATAAGTGCAGCTGGATTTGATCTTTGTATATGGCCAGGTCCATAAACAAGAACCTGGTCTGTCCATTGCACTTAAGGTACAAGTCAAGGGCATGTTACTAATAAAAAATAAAACTGTTTCTCATTCCTAGATATGGGTGGGAGTGTTCTCTAGATTATCTTTTTTTTTTTTTTTTTTTAAATTCATGTTGGTGGGCTTGGCCCTAAAAAGTGAATCAATTTCAACCTCCTGGAACCCTACAAAAACAAACCAGCATGACAGCCCAACACACCGAGAAACCCTACAAAAACCAAGCCATTCGGCCACCACTTATAAGTAGCCTCACAATAATAAGCCAATGAGCGCAGCCAAATATTCACCGTAACTGGAAAATTAAATTTAAAAAAACAAACAAACAAAAAGATAATAACCACACATCCCTTACAGAACACTTTTCCGCATAGATCTCAGGGTGCCTTACAAAAGGTGGATCAGTGTCATTAGCCAGAGCTGACAGAGGAGGAGCTAATGTCACAGTAGAGAACAGAATTTGGGTTTCTTGACTGCCAGCCTAGTCCTGAGCCGTTGACATACACTGCCTCCCCAGTGGAGGAAGAAGGCTCAAAGTGTTTCAGATAAGAATTGTATTTAGGCCATAGAGATTAATAAATGCATACTGCAACATTCTTAAAAAAAATACAGTTTATTGGGTCTGATTTTCAGGATGCTGAGATGCAAACTGCTCAGTTTGGGTATTCAGTTACCACAACTATGTGCGCCAGATTGGGTGTGTATCTAGCACCATTTATGCAGATAAACACCCTCTTTTGGATATACAATTGTGCACACAGTGAGTGCTCAAACTGCACTCGTGCAAATGTAATCTGACATCAGGCCTTGATTTCATGAAACTAAGGTTATCTGGTTATATTCCAGGATTTGAAGTGAAGATGGGAAAGTGATGTTAGAAAATGTGTGATGGGAAACAATCACAGGTACCGTGAGGAACAGAAAGGGTCTAGCCAATATAAATGTCAGACTAGGATTTGGGATGGGTGACTCAGCTGATAGATAAGAGAACCTGAAACCGTGACAGCCCCTTCTAGCTCACCCTCAAAGAAATCCTGACAATCTGAAACCAAGCAACCACATAAATAAGCTTAATCCAAATCAGAATTTACTCCTTGAGAAATGAGAATAGTCAGAGACTATGAGGTCCATAAGGGACTTGGTTATTGATATCAATTGTATATGGAAGGTGCTCAGATACTAGGTGATGGAGGACCATATAAAACCCTAAGGCCACTTAAAAGTTTTGCTGGCATAGCTATGTTGGTTAGGGGTGTGATTTTTTATTTATTTAAGACATGACCTAGCTATGCCTGCAAGAACCCTAATATATGCAGTTACACCAGAAAAAAAACCCCCAAAAAACAGACAAAAACCCACAGATTTTGCCGATATAACTTATTTTGTTTCCCGAACCAGGAAAAGCTACACAAACCAAAGGATTTATTTTGCTACTACAATTGCATCTACACTAGGAAGTTTTTACCACTATAGCTATACTGGCAAAACTTTTAAGGGTACATAAGAACAGCCATATTAAGTCAGACCAAGGGTCCATCTAGCCTAGTATCCGGTCTTGTGACAGTGGCCAATGCCAGGTGCCTCTGAGGGAATGAACAGAGCAGGTAATCGAGTGATCCATTCCCTGTTGCCCATTTCCAGCTTCTGGCAAACATAGGCTAGGAGGACACCATTCCTGCCCATCCTGGCTAACAGCCATTGATGGACCTATCCTCCATGAATGTATCTAGTTCTTTTTTGAACCCTGTTATAGTCTTGACCTTCACAACATCCTCTGGCAAGGAGTTCCACAGGTTAACTGTGTGTTGTGTGAAAAAATACTTCCTTTTGTT